GTTTCGCTGAAGAGGGAAGGCCAATGTTCATTAACTCTCAAAGCCTCTAAGTGCTTTACACATGATGTATGCTTTAGGTGCTGTGTGAATTACCCATAAATTAACTAGAAAGTGTGCAGATTATTATAGAATTGCTCTCTAACAGTCTATATTTTCCACTAATGGTTAATATATTTATAGAAAAATCGTAAAATTGTCCAATGTACAGTAATGTGAAAGTCTTTCAGGACAGCATTTCAAATAAAGCTATGAACCAACCAGAGTAACAATGTTCAAAGTTCTGAATAAAAATTTGATAAAACACCCTCTTTCATTGTAAAAATGTACCATGACTCAAAGCAATTTTTTTTATTTGTGCGTAAACAACTGTTCATGTGAGGATTATCTATTAATAATTTCTTTATGTACTAAAAAAAAATTTAGTCATCATATATATTCAGAATTAATCATTTTTGTTCATAGTTTATCACTGCCATAGTAAATGTTTAAAACCAATCAAACTTCCAAACTTATTTGTCACAACTTTTTCACAACAAATTTAAATATTTAGCACCATACCAAAATTAATAGATATGTTACTTTCTAAATGTTGCATGAATGAGCACAGACGGTAAGCACTTAAAGAATCAGACAGACACATCATGAATTCAGTATAAATATTTAAAATACTTTATACAGCATAGAAATCTCTTGACACTCGAAACAAAACCATCATTACAAAATCTTACAAAAGACCCTCCCCTTTCCCTCGAGTCCATATCAATCTCCGTATTATCAAGAAAAAAAGGTACAAAGACATGATTTTCAAAAAGGTGACGAAACAATTTGTCAAACAGTGCATGCAACTTTTGATGGGAAGAGATCTTAACCATTAACAGTGGTGTAGCCTAGAGTTTTGCCAGTGGAAGCCTCAATATAAAGTCCAGTAGTATTTTCCCGGTAACTACAAAATGTTAAATGTCTTTAACTTCATAAGATCTCTTCATACAGCACAGCGCAAGTGACAGAACACAGTAGTTGTATCTTATTTACAATCACATGATTGCGCCCCCAAAAAAGAGCACTTATCAAATACTTGCATTTAACACTTAAGACTATTGCACAGACTACATCTTTAAGACAAAAATGAAGTGAATTTTTCTCATACCTACAGCATTTGGCGAGGTTTGTCTGTTTCATAAGGCTTTAATGCATTTTTTAAATGTTTTTGTTTTATTTTGCAAAAAACTGGCTAAGAAAAATCACAGCTACCCTTCCCATAGTTTTGCTAGAGGTGCTTCAACACTATAAAAGGTACAGCTGTGAATTAACAGTGTTTAAAGTTGGATGTTTTGTTTTAACCATACAAAAGGTGAATGAATCTAACTTTGCTACCTGTCTGCTGTCTACCCTATTAGATCTACTGCAACACGGTGGCAAAATCCACATACTGATTGCTATTTTTTGACGTGTTATGAACAATGCTGTGAGGTAAAGGATGTAAAAACACTCATTATACTACAGATTTTGGTTTCAACAATAGTGCAGTGCCAGTCAGCCTTGAGGAGACAGTGCGGGCTGCCTGTTTATCAGTGGATATAGTTTTCACATAGACAATAATAAACACTAGAACACATATTATGGGGCAGGGGACAGGTTGGGCTCCTTTAGCTGGTGTGAATCAGTAGATGGTTCAATTAGTAACCAGTTATTACAATTTTACATAAGAGACAATCTCGTAAATCTATAATACAGTGTTCTTATGACGAGGGTAAGCGCCTATGTGCACACCTTGGATAACATGACGTCCTATCTGGATCTGGGACGAGGTCTACTCATTGTTTAGGGATCAGTTTTAAATCTCATATCCTTTGTGTCACCACCTATTCTTACATAATGACAGTAGTAACAAGACAATTATGATTAATTTCAACTAGGGCTGCACAAGATCTTGACAATTTATTTCTATGGCAATATTTATGCTTTAACTGGGTCAAGAACTAAGTATTGCAATAAGGCTATGGCTTTCCATCTGACCTAAATTTATAGTCAGTTTTATTTTTACTAAATGAAAATATTTTAAATTCAAGTTTCGTCATCTACATTTAATTGTAGATTTGTCTTTGTTAAATGTTTATTTGATTAGTAATTACAGGGATATTTCAGCTATATTTTATAACTTACTATATAATAATATTATATTATAATATTGCAAATTTTCCACAGTTTTGCATATTGCATGTTTTTCCTCATGCTGTGCAGCCCTAATTTCAATCCCCTTCAACAAATAAATGGACAAAAGTGGCTCAGTAGCAATAAACAAAATTCACAGTTCAAACTAAGGCCGCTCTGGAAGACCCCTCCAACTTCTGTACATTTTGAGAGATCCCGTTCTATCTTTTTAGTTATTTCCTTTACGTTGTTGCGCCATCAGCAAAGAGTTTTGAGTGCGCCTGATGCGCAAAGCAGTGTTTGCATGGGATACGGAGGCGGAGACACTACCTCCTCTACAACTTGTTCGGGACGAAAGGAAAATGGCTGTAATGGGACTTTCTTCTTTAATATCTGTCCTATTCCCATTGAGGGAAACTTGCTGCGATGAGTAGGGCTCTCTGGGTCACTGTTGCTGCTGTTATTTGCAGATGGATGGCTAAAAGCGGAGTGGGGGTTGAGAGGGTGGAAAGCAGATTTTGGTGGGCTGAATGCAGAACTTCCTGGTGGGCTACCAATGGTGCTGGGTGGGCTACCACTTGTATCAGAGCCCCCACACCAATCTGTAGAGGTGCTCTTTTTGGGTTGTGGGTTGTTGATTAGAACAGGAGGACTTGGGATGGTGGCTTTCTTTAAATAAGAGGAGTCCGGCTGAAAAGCAGAAACATGACGTGGGGGTGACAGTGTCCCGTTGATGAGCTTGTACC